CATATTCTCATAAACTTTTCCCTCCTCAAAGCGTCCTTCTAAAAAAGCCATATTGTAGTAATCTGGAGTCACTCGTCTGTCTTCCAATGACTGGTATTCAGTTGGTTCACGTGACTGCCCGTCAGAGGGCCTGGGTTGCAGTTCCATATAAACACCAGGCTCTGACACTTGACGAGGACCAGGGGAGACCTGAGGGGTACAGCTGTCTACTATGGTTGTTCTTTTGATAAGCTCAGCTCGTCTTTACCGCCATATCAGTATACCATTAACAACAAGAGAGAAGAAAAGAATGGAAGACATAGTGATGACAGCAGCACTAAGGACTTGGCATTCACCTGATAATTAAAATGCACATTTCTGAACACATTTGTAAAACTTTGTCCCACGATAAAACGAAAAAAAAAAAGCAATCAAATGATGAAATTGGGTTTATTTTGCCTGAACGTTATGACGTTATGATTTTCTTTGAAGAGATATTTTTGACTTCTGCTGTTTTTTCAGTAATTACAGGAAAGTATGTAAATGAAAACGATCGTTTCATAAAAGAACATTAGTTATGCAGTAGTGAAAAAATAGGCCTGAGAAAGAAAATTCAGGCCTGTACGGGATTTGAATCTATGACCTCTGCGATACAGGTGCTGTGCTCTACCAACTGAGCTAAGGAGCCGATTGGGAGCTGGCCATTAGGAAGATTTTTTCTCCTCCTGAAAACGAAATGATAAACCAATTCGGCTAAGTGGAGATAAATAGTTGATTAGTTTTTACCACACAGAAACCAAAAAAAAAATGGTTTATTTTTGTCAATATAGCAAAAACTGGTCAGAAAATAAATAGTGGACTAGCAATTTTGTCATAATCGATAGGGAGATTTTCCAATCCATCAACAACTTTTAGAACTATGACTTGATGGGAACTAAAAAGAGGAGATTGGAGTTTTAATGACGTCCATTGAAATTTACTAAATCAAACCTTCAAAACTATCATTTACTCATAAAAAGATAATAAAAGGAGCTAGTAGTAACATTATTTGGAGTCTTATAGATTTCCCGTTTAACGAAATGAAACTTTAAATTGATGGTAAGAAGTAGGAATAAAAATCGACACGAGCTAAGATCGAAAAGGATTAGAAATACAACACTCGAAACATTCAGGCTTTTCATTAATATGGCAAACAGATATAAAGGCTATAAGAGCATCACATTTTAGTCAGGATCAAGGCTTTTACGTGCAACTTGGAGGGAGATTTTCTAAAGGAGCGTTTCAATGTACTATGATTTAAGACAGACTGTGTGATTCGAATGGGAGAATACATGCATTTACTTACTAGCATAAACGTTTTTCCGATCATTGATAGACATAATCACCTTATTGGATCATTTCTTTGCTCCGCTGGCCACAAGTAAATTACAACAGTTGTCGACGAAATGCGTTTAATCGCCACAGAAAGTACAGTTGGAGAGATCGGGGCTAAAAAGAGTAGAAAGAAAATCGTACCTGGGTTTAAAAGAAGGTTTTCTGCCACAAGACTTGTGTTACCGTACTGTACTTAGAGCAAAAACGGAAACAGTCAAATAACCTTCGAAAAAACCATGGAGGCCAAACAAGCGAATAACCGTCGTTAAAATAGTAAGAAAACTACCGTTTTGTCAATATTCCGCGAGTAAGATGCTGGTCCATACATTATTTTTCCGAAAAAAGTCTTAATGTTCATGTGCCTTATATTGTTACCATAGGCGGGATTGTTGAATGAGTTATCACTGTTGCAGTAGTCTCGCTAAGCTGTCAGTCTAAAATTATATCTCTATCTCAATAAATACCTGCTCCTGTAAAGCAACGTTTACCTGTTATTTTTGTTTTGACCCTACCAGGAAACCCTTTGGGTACTCCCACTCCGCATACAGAGCTCACGAAAATCTGAAACTCGTAGATGGAACCGGGAGTTAAACCTTTCATAGTATAGGAAGTGGAACTGCCAACGTCTCGGACACCTTCCTCTCTAAAGCTTCCATTGTAAGGCTTTGTTCGGAGATACTTCACCTTATGAAACAAACATCACTAAATAAAACCCTGCTTAGCTCTTGAAGGTTGTCTAATGTTCAAAGGTAAAAAAAAGTTTACTTTTAAGAGCCCTTTTCTCGTTCAGAGTGACTAAAGGAAATTATCACCAACTAAACAAGCTCTTGATTGTTAAGTACACAGGAAATTTATAGAGAACAGTATGGATGTACCGATGGTAGGATCTAAGGGGTTAAGAGAGAAGTAATGCTAATACAAAGCAATTCGACATCAGCGCCGACAAAAAAAACCAGAAACTATCATCTTAAAAGTTCAATGATGTCATTGAAGNCGTGTTTTAGCATCTCGTGGGGCAGCACGCAAGGGAATTCAGCTTTTCAGGGGCCCGCTCAAGCTATCATGTACATACTTTAGCCGGGATTTTTTAATGTTTCACGATGAGGGGGTGCGCGGGGCCCTGTGGGCCATATGCGTCATATGGTAAAATGACCTCTTTACATATCTTTCGGTTCCGTGTGATACTTTCCTCTTTCCCTATTAGCCGAAGTTACACTCTGGCTTTGTTTTAATTCCTCAATCTGAAAGCGCTATTTTAACCTTTATCATATTTACTTACCTGAAGTTCTTGGAAGATCCACGGGTGGACTATATGGGCCAGGCCCTACTTTGGTATAAGCCCGAACAGACACTTGGTATTGAGAACAAAGTAATAATCCATTCAATAAAATGAGTGTGTTTGTTGTATTAACTGATTTGCTGCTCAGAGGAGATCTTTTCTGACGTGTATCCCGAGACAACAATTCTTCTTTGACGTTGTACAGAATGATGACACCATTACTGTGTTCTCTTGGTAGTGGTGCCCATGAAATGTTCAAGATCGTCTTGTTCACCTCAGTAAATGAAACATTAGCTGGACCATAACTCGGTTCTAGGAGAGAAAATTTAGCCGAAAATTCAGCATCAAGACCAAAGGAATTTTTAGGACCCAAACATGAGAACAAGCCAACAAGGGAAATGCAACTTCTACAAACAATCAAGTTTTCTCACCATCTTCCATTGTTCTTTCCACCAAAACAGAACTCTTAGGTCCCCCACCATGAGATGTAAAAGCCAACACTTGAAATTCATATTCTGTGTACTTATCAAAGCCGTTAATAACTTCAGGAAAGATTGTTCCATCACTAATGGTTGACACTGTCATTGACCCAGTGAACCCTATCTTTTTGTAGAACACTTTGAATCCTATAATGTTTCCATGTCTGGAATATGCGGGAGGCAACTGCCAGAATAACGTAATACTAGTGGAAGAACTTGCAATTCCGCCGAAGATACTGGGTGCTTGGGAAGGAACTTAAACCAAAAGAGACTGTTGACGTGGCAATAATAGTAATCATCATCATCTTCCATTACAGTTCATCTAGTATTAATGACAACATATATTAGTTATAAAACGCTTCCATGCCGGTCAGTGAAAATCGCCTGAATTTCTTAAAAGATATCTTGAGTCTTCAGACTTCCTAAGAGCAAAAACAAATTGCATTAAGGAATTAATTAATTTTGTCCCTATATTGCTATTTCGTGTCTCCAACTGTGCAAGCTGTTAACTAGTTAGGATATTAGTAAAACTAGGAAGTTTTGCCTGAATCTTAGTAAAGAAGGAAAGGGTAGTTGTCAAAAGCGTTGCAGGGCTCAATTTGGGATTAGAACATAAAGTGCAAATAACAGCTTTTAAATTATCAGGTTAATGCAAAATGTTTTGGCTCAGCAACACCAGTGCCATCTGGCTACTTGCCCCAGGGTGCTGGAGGGCAATGAGAATGCTTGTCACTTGACTTGTGGTTGCTCAAACCCTAACCCAACTGTACCCCTAACCCTAAACTGTAACCCTAACCCAAAGTATTGATTCAGTGGCTATGCCAGGTTTAAAACCGCATACGATTCTCGCAGCACGTCGTTGCAGGCGTTCAAGAGTCTTTCTGTTAGTGCTTCCAAAAGGGCAAAAGCACGTATCACAATAGCTTAATTACGGTAGCAGCGTGGACAAATAGATCTTATTTGCTGCTTCCGTGGTTAAACAACCTTGTAATCGTGACCTTGTAATTTTGACCTTACATTATTATGTGATCGTTGAAAGATAAACACTCAGGTAGCAAGACTCCAAGATACTTGAATAAAGGCTGATAGTTTCGAAAGAAACTGTTTGGGGTTGCGTCGGTGGGAGTAACGAAATAATTTGGATATATCATCAAAGTTAAAGTGGTAAATTGGCCACCGTAACGATTACAAAAGCTGACGTTTCGCTCCGACAAAGGGCTAACGCTAACGCTCGAAACGTCAGCTTTTGTAATCGTTATGGTGGCCAATTTACCATTTCAACTTTGTTGATATATCCAAATTATTCCAAGATACTTGAACGACTTTACTTGGTTAACTTCTTTCCCTTCCATACAGAGCGGACCATGAGATTCAGATCTAATTGGCCTCTGCCGAGTTCCAAATACAACGTACTCAGTTTTCTTTAGGTTGAGGAAGAGACCATTCGCTGTTAGCCAATTTGAGACAACACTGAGATCAAGACTTAAGTTCAGCTGTAGTTGGTCAATGCTTGAAGCAGCAGAAAAGATAACAGTGTCGTCGGCATACAACATAACACTAGACAGACCAACGCCTAAAGGAAGGTCGCTTATGTAAAGAATAAACAGTAGAGGCCCTAACAAGGAGCCTTGAGGTACTCGCTACTGATGTTAGCGGCAGACGAACGGTGATTTTCAATGGACACGCTCTAAATTCCTGTTAGTGAGATAGCTCTCAAACCAGGAGAGAAGCTGGTCTTGAATTCCATATCTAAACAACTTGTTTAAAAGACCATCATGAGGAACAGTATCGAAGGCCTTTTTCAGGTCGATAAACACTGCCCCTGTTAATAGGCCTTTGTCTGTATGTCCCCGAATTTTATCTGTAAGGAAGGTAACGGCCAACTGAGTTGAATGATTTGCGCGAAAACCCGATTGATATGGCGAGAGGAGGGAGTTTTCTGATAGGTAGCTATGTAGCTGATGGAAGACAGCTTTCTTCAGAATTTTCGACAGGATCGGTAACATTGATATAGATCTGTAATTGTCCAGATCATCTTTGTTTCCAGATTTAAATAAGGGTGCAACCTTTGCTTGCTTTCATTCAGACGGGACCGTACGAGATTTAATGGAGAGATTTACCAAATGTATTACACAGTCAGCTATCACAGCTGCGCTGTCCTTTAAAAGTCGAGCTGGTAGACCGTCTAGACCAGTGGCTTTCTTGAGTTTTAGGCATTTAAGTTGCTTAAGCACAAACGGCTTACCCACTGCTGTGAACTCAAAGTGTTTCTTTGTAAACAATTCCTCAGTTGTAGATTTAAAAACTGGTCTTGCACACCTGCGCGATTCAAATAACTTGTTCACAACAGATGTTAAAAAAAGAGTTGAACAATTCTGAAATGCTTTGTCTATCAGTAATAATCTTGTCATCAGTCATGATACATGTCGGGATAGATTTCACTTTTGCGTCCGGCAATATTTTCTTTACAGATCTCCAGAAAGATTCAGAATCGCCCCTATTCTCCTTGAGTAATGATCTACTCTAGCTTTCTTTAGCACGTTAAAGCCTTGCACAGACTTTATTGCGAAGTAGCCGATACGCAGCAAATATGATCTGTTCACCATGAAAAAAGAAACTCTTTAAGTGAGTTTATTCCATCAAAACTGTGATATATGTTTAAATGTGAAAGTGTAATGTGATCGTCCGGGATATCGGTGATGGCTGACGTTTCGACAACCTGTGTGCAAGTCATTATCAGAGTCAAGTGAATAGTTGTTGTCAGTAGATGATTGGTCACTTTTGCCGTTATGTTATTGGCTGTAAGACTCAAGTGGCATAACCCGGCTGTGATTGGTCTGTGTCGATCCGTCGGTTNGACGTAGTAACATACTCGGCTGCACTTCGTGTGCAACTTTTTTGTTCTCATCACATTTGACGTCATGTGGAATCAACAAAGGAACAAACATATGGAAACATTAAATCTAATCGTTAATTGGAAACGGTACTTCGGTTCGTGACACACTTTGTTTTTGTCTCGCCTAAAGAAGCACTCGGTAATTTGGCATTAAAATGCATGTATTTTAAGATACGTCCTCCTCATGATCGTTATTATCACTTTTACTATCATAATGCCGCATAGGATGCCGTTCTTTAACATCGCTGTATGGAAAATATATGGTACACTCATAACAATAACCTGCTCAAAAGATCTTGTCAGCGCATGGAGTCTGGTTACTTCAAGAACATGCATGACCTTTACAGGTTTCTGATCAAGGCAGTTTATTAATAAGGCATTAAGGGCTTCTTCAACGTGCAGCAACCTTTGATTTGGTCCATTTGAAACTCTTTCCTTACATCTGCCTTTTATTTTACATGTACCTATGTATTTACAGTTTTTTGATGTTGATGCATGTGAAATGCTATACGATGGAATCACGTATAGCCACATCTGAACATTTAGTTGTAACCTCAAATGAAAGTTAAATGAAATTCATAATTTTGGGTGAGGTTCCCAAACTGAACGAAACCTCTTAGAAGACGTTCACACATATATATCACACATATACATAAACTTACTTTGCTTAAAGAATCTATATTATCAAGTGAGATTTAATCTATATTTTTATATACTGTTAGCACTACTGTTAGCTATTCCTTTTACCTTTAAAAGAGGGTTCTATTTTTTCGAGGCGTTTACTGGACATCAGAAACGCTTTAAAAATATTTTTTAGTAGATTCTTCTCAACTGTAAAGACCATGTATTGGTTTTGCACTTTTACCTTAAAGCAATTGAAAATGTAAACAACACAATGTTACTCTTAAGTGCTTCAGTTGTAAAAATTTGGACTTTTCGAAACCAATCACAATCAAGGATCCCAAACAACTACAATGATCCATGCTGAAAAATACTGATCCCATCCAAGACGTAGTGAACCCTGTTTGCTGGCCATGTCGGGGAGGCTCAAGCGATGTATTGGCCATAGCCATTACATTAAGATGATTAATTTAAAAACACTTTTTGTCTGTCTTTACGTCCGTCTCTGTCTCCGCGTGGCTCTAGAAATTGTGAATGTGATCTCCGACTAGAAATAGTATCCCCCCTCCGAAAAAAAAAAAAAAGTAATAAAATGAAAACACACCAAAAACGAGTTGGTTTCAATGGAGACGCACGATATGGACCTTTTAACGACATGAAATACTGAAAGAAGCGAACTCGTTACTCTTCACGCAAGCATTACGCAACCGAGAAAGCAATTTTCAAGACAGTCGTTTGTTTTCGATGAGAAAATATGCCTGAACACGAGGCAGCAACCATATGGTGACTGTTTTAATTCCTTCTAGGAAAGTTTATTTACTGTTTTTTTCCGCAAAAGTGGTAAACAGTTTTCCGACACGAGTCAATCGCTCAGTCAAATAAAGCATATGAAGTGACTATGTAATGAACAAAGGGGGTAAGTTTCTAACGAAACTGTGGTGCCTGCAGATACTTTGGTTTTATCAACTGAATTGATAAGATAAATTGGCCATCGTACAAAGTTTCATTGTGGACGATGCGAGCGTTAGCCCTCCGTCATTAATATGTACAAATGTCCGGTCATTGTAAGCGATGAGTGAATTCGTACTGACCTACGATTTTCTCTGTGTTTCTGGGACTGACAAAGCGAGTCGGATGATCGTGACCTGTTGACGAAGGAAGTGGACTTAAGTCAGGTAAATAATTTAAACAACATCGCATTGATAAGTCATGTTAAGTCATTCTTCAGCCAACCAGGAATTGACAAAAATTAACTCAATGAAGGTTAAAAGGAACTTCACGTACCGGTGCTCAT